ATGTATTGTATTTAACCCGTATGACGATGAGTAGAGGACGATGAGTAGAGGACGATATCTTTGATTTATGAACGTGTTATGCCGGGAGGCATATCTCAGTTTGGGTGAAGGGATGTGTCATGAATTTGTTTTTGCGTATCTGTTAATCGACTTAATTAGCTTGATTACGAGCGAATTGCTGTGTTATGTCTGTCATCGTTTAGGTCTATTTGAAGTATTGCACAGAACTTGGCTCAGTGATTTGGAACTAATTACGAGATAACCGTCGCTATTCTGACTATTAATTCTGACAGTTGGTATCCGTAGTTATTAATGTAGTGAACGATTAATCAAAAGATATGACGTATTCAGTACTTAGTTTGATTGGCTGTACGATTGAAGGTTACGCCCTAGAGTCGTTTTACTGCATTGTAATTGGTTAGAGTTTTGAAAATGAATAAAGTAAGTTTGAGTTGGTCTTGGGGAGTACACCAGAACAGAGGCAGTCCTGGAGAGCCTTGGGGCGAGTGTTGACGCAGTCTAAGAGAGTCTTGGTTCAGCCTTGTGATAGTCTTGGGGACTTTTCCCCAGGGCGCTGTGTCTTATAGAGTGCTCCAAAAGATCGACTAAGACGAGAGTTGAAACGTATTTCGCTGTGTGTGTCTTATTTGACTGTAAAGTTAAAGTGACTTTCCCGATCCCATACCTCAAGGGGACGAGATATAGAGACGAGACGAGATTCCCCCCTGACAAGTGTGGAGAACCCGAGAGTAAAAGAATTTCCCCCTGATATTATAAAGAAAAAATCAACCCACAGACGTACTGATTGTCGCTACCTACGGTTCGAGTTAGGTAGTTGTGAGGTACATTTGTTTTTGTATATGTTTTGATATTAATCCCAATATTATTAAAATATCTTTTAAGAAGAGATGAAATTTATTTTAGTCAGTTTCCAGTGTAATAATATGTTCTTCCATAATTCATTGCGATCAGAAACGTCGAAAAGCCAATAAGTTGTGTGAATCAATGGATCACAATCCTTCTAGTAGGGGGTTATGGATAACAGCACAATAAGACTTAATCGGATCGAAACACGTGACTGTTATGTGACATATATAATAGTACTATGCTGACTTTTCCTGCTGGCAAAAATTTTTCATCAATTCCTCGATTTTTGTTAATCTGTAATCAAACACCACAAAATCTAATTTGTCTGGAGCATTCCTAAAACATATTTGACACGTACATCTATTCTTATTTTTTAGAAATAGTGGTAGCATGGAGGTTGTTGTGTCGGGTCCATGACACAGGGGCTTCAGTGTCAACTGACGGCGAATCCTCTAGTGCGAGCACGACACTCAATAGCCCCGATGACATCACAGTTAAGGTTTATCTGAATTCAGTTTTAGGCAGTGATACACAGTTTAACTTTGAAAAATTAAAAAAACTCACACAAACTAAATAAATTATATTGTCGACACATTTAAACAATGACCATGGCGATCAAATCACGCAAATATTAACAATTTTTTTGGGTTGGAAGATTTCCTCCGTATGTCAGCGCCAATCACAACCATTGACTTGTTGCGGATTGGCTGAAATAGTGTTCCCAAGTAGTTCAGAGTCAAGCTCAAAAGTCTTGTGTCCAAATCAACAGTTAAAGTGAAGTTCTACTCACGCGTTTTTGACACGTGTTATATACAGTGATAACATCTCCTCTCAACGTCTGTCAAAGTATAAATGTCAGTAAGCGGTCGAGCAAACCTGTAAAATAATATACACAAAATATCACTGCGTTTTCCAAAGACAATAAATGAAAACACATTTCGTTATCGTCGAGTTAAAATCCCACTAAAAATAACGCCAATTTTGTAATATTCCTAACATCAACAAATTCTTGTAAGACACCCCGCATATTAGCGAGCAAAAACTGTGATACTATCAGTGTCATTGGTAACAGTAACATACCCTAAAACAGACAAAACATGCAATTTTAACTTGATTTTTTACATCGATTTTATCTTAATCGAATAGAGTGACCCCATATTTTTTATTTAATTTTCGTCATCCTTGTAACATGAAATGTTACATATGTAAAAATAAAGAAAATTACATTATTGTTGTTTAGTTTTGTGTAACATTTTCCCATAGGCTTGAATATTTCACCTTTTTATTTTTTGTATATACCGGTATATACGTGTGGTTTATCGTTATGTACAAAACCATGGGAATAAATTACCGTCTTCCACAATATCTAGCGTATCTACAGAGAAAAAAGACCCTTATTTAAAGTAGAACGGTACACAAAAGTAAAAATATCTGTCATTTTATTTGATTTGACAAAAGTATTGTTGCTACACGTGTGCAATGCTCACTCTGCTTCATTACGCGTTCGTCAGATCAGGTGGGTCATGTTCACGTGATCATTTGAACTAATTTGTTTAATAAACATCGTAGCACCTTTTAATTCTATACAAATTTAGAAGAAAATATTACGCTTAGGACAAACACAGTGTTTTTAACCTGAAGAGTATGTATACGTAGTGTAGTTACAGTGATGAGTTGCTCGTCTTCTCGTTGACTCGAAAGAATCTTACTTCGTTCAAGGTCCATGCCGGGGGTCCATGCTTCGTTGAACTTATTTTTGGTATAAATTACCATGTTACACGTATTTCCTTACTATATACTGCTATATAAATACAACACAAGAAAGATGAAAATAAAAGCATTGTTGGCGAGCGATGGTGTATTGTATCTATACACTGTTTTCACACTGATAATGTTCGGAAAAAGTGGCTGGTTACTATCCCGGGTCACTATGATCTGACACGAATAACTTGAATGCTGCGACGTTCAATTACCGAATTGCCGTCATCATGTTAAATACTAAAATTCCTGTGAGCATGTACAATTACAACAGAGCTGATTGATTGATTGATTGATTGATTGATTGATTTACTGACATATATGTGAATCAAAACCCCAGTGAATATGTTGAAATATCAAAATAGTGAAATTAAATACCAGTGAAAAATAACGCCTTTACAGTAAGCGATATTAATATTCTTGAAAGCATACTGCCCTCTCACGGTCATAACCGTATAATTTTCCAGAGTATCCCAAATGACGTCACATCCATGTAAAAGCCCTTTAGCTACCTCGAAATCTGCTGGCTTCGTGCACTATGAAGATAGAGCATACTGAAAATACATGTCTGTTGCTTAACATTGCTCGAACTTATAACTTATAAGTCATTCAATTTATGAATATGCGCAGAAATATACTTCCAATACGCCGGGAATGTAGGGAAACGAAGAATGACATTCGGGAAACAAATCAAGTATCTTTAAGTTAAAGGGCATTTGGTCATGTGACACCGCCATATTGGGATTTGGCACTGTATCGATGAAAAAAATTACCTTTCCGTAAATTGACATGATTCGATAAGAAATTTTCAGCAGACACTGAAGATCATCATATTGCATAATTTCAGCCACTAGAGAGCGACAATAATGGCCTTGAAGAAAGTAAAAGGAAGTCTGGAGCGTGTACTTGACAAAGATTTGCAAGATCTTGTACGTGGCATTAGAAAACACAAGGATAATGAGGTAGAATTATTTTATTCCTTTTCACCAAAAAATAATTGAAATTCAATATTATTTTAGTATTAATATCAATATTGACTGTACTCGCCATTTTTGTAGTCGCCCGATTGTGTTGATACGAAGCACGAAGTAAATTACGATCGACTTACGATGAAGACGCCCCCATATTTTTTCCTGATCATCGCAGCTGAAACTGATCAGTCTGTTTGCAATGAACGCTTATACGGAATGAATGAATAGTTCGGCCAGTCAGCGAATATTGTGAGTAACGTTGCATATGTGTCTGCAACTATTTTGTAGACTAAACGAAACTATGGAACAGATAAAAAAAAAAAAAATGTCACAAATGCAATGGTTTGTACATTTCGAAAATGAATCCATGCAATGATTTATTTATTAAAAACAAGATGCGATCTTAAAATAATTTATAAATAAAATTGTCATTCAGTCTTAAAAACGTACAGATGTGTTATGTGTTTTTTCCGCCCCTTGGACGTAAACAAAAATGCATTTACTTTCTGTGTTAAGTGATAAAAAATACATTGAGCAAGTATGAAAAATTAATATATATAAACCGTCCCCCTATATAATAATATCCAAACAAATACGTGCCAAAGAAATTCATTTTTATAATGAATTGAATAATATGCCATAACTTTTGAATACCATAAGTAGGTCATCAGAAAACATTATAAAAATCCTTGACCGCGTGTATAATTTTAATAAATCACTAAGGTCACTATTTTGACATGACATTTACTGTTGTCATAAAATAAAACTTGTATTTCTATCAATACTTCCTATGGCGTAATGGAATATCACTTGTTTTCTTATCGTTTGGTCCAAAATGAGAAATGTATTAGTTGTTTCTATTACCACTATATTGATTTGGGTCAATAATATTATATCAAAAAACCTTTTTTTGCATGTTGTTAATTGTGTCTGTGTGAATGTGCGTTTCCGTTCCAAGACCGCTACATCAGACACATGCATATAATCCAATAAAACACAAAACATAATTCCAGTAAAACGTAAAATAGTTGGTTTTTGAATGATTTTGTTGCATCATGTTTTATCAAAGACATTAAAAAATATGTAAATTGCCAACAAAAATGAGAGACTCGCAGGTTTTAAACTGCTGTCCTCAATAGCGTTTCTTCGTTTTATATAAAGTATAGTTTAAATTGTACTATTAGTGGTCATTGACATAAACAAATAAGTTGTGTCCTGTAATGAGGCACTTCTTTGATTTCTGTCTTTCATACAGCTTTGTTTGGTTGTGAACTGATTTGGCTTTTAGATTAAAATGCAAATTACTAAGGTCAAAGAAAAAAGATTTGGTTTCTCACCCCAGTAAAAATTGGAAAAACAATTCACTATGCAGTATTGGTACCACAGATTGTATATGGAAGTTGTGTAACTGTAGGAGTAATTTATCGTGCAAACTACCGGTAGTACATATTTCACTGTTATCGTAATGGTAACTTAAAGTTCCTGTGCAATGCCCACCCTCACATTTCCCATTTTAGATCTGTGTCCCACTGAAATGGGCAGTTATTGATTTTTTTGCTGAAAATGATTACTCGTATCCAAGTAAATTTGGGATATTTCTCATGTTGTAGCCACGCCCACCTATCCTGAAACTGTCGACTTTTTTCGAATTTCCGACTCTCGGAACTCTGGTCATTCAGTATACTTTTAAACCATATACATTTTTTCAGTCGGCGTTTTTTTCTTCTTTTTTTTTTTTGTCTATTTTTTTGAGTGGGAGTTTTTAGATGTTGTGTTGTGGGCAGTTGCAGTGAAACGTATAGTCATACTGTAAGTATTCACACGTTTCTAATCGATCCGAAGGTGCGACATCAGGGGACGAAAGCCACTTAACCTCAGATTCCTTTTTTTGGAAAAACTCCTCGTCCATGAAAAAAACAACTAGGTTTAAAGAGAAACACCGACAACATAAACCTGGCGCAACACTTTTGAAAGACATAGATTCCGACAAGTGTTTCAATTGAGTTGACTTTTTTTGCGATCCTGATTATCGTTTTATAGAGACCATTTAGTCCCTGTTAAGTAAAAGGTAGCAATAATTTTGACAGTGACACGAAAACGAAGCGGCGGACAAACAGGAAATTACACAGCCCTTAAACACTGCTAATTGTTTTCATTTTCGAAGGCTAAAAGTTTCTGAATTGTTTGGTGATTGGTGTTGAATGTCGAATTCACACCTCTGTTCTTTTTTTTACCTCCATGCTTGCAGCTTGATCTGTGTAATAATTTATGAAATAAGAATCTGGGCTTGGTCAATGTGTTTCCACCAAATAAAGTTTTAATATGATGTTATAATTATGACAATCACGACATGGATCACGCTAACTCGAATCCACTCTGAATTTATCTGTATGAGTGTCGATCTGAATTATTTTTGTTATCTAATTAAACGCTGCTTTTAACGCACTTGCCCTCGTCGTGACCCGACGCGTTCACCTATTTCAACAAAATTTCAATTTATTTCCAAGCGGCTGTCATTTATTTAGTAACTGTGATTTGTCGTTTTTTTTTAATTATTTTATAGTGATCACTATAGTCTAATGTTTAGAATGTCAAAATATGTTCTCTTTTATTTTAATTTTGAAAGTTTTACTCAGACAATCGATGAAATAAAACAGTGTAGTGACATGCCTAGTAACCTGCTAAATAACGAGATAATTCCGACGTCAAATTCCAGTTACACCAGAACGGACATATTTCGCATCTAACTCAACCCCATGCAACAAAAATTGATACTATGTGTTCATTATGGTTCATTCCTCCTTGATGAACAAGTGAATCGGCAATGCAAGCTGCCATGCCACTTCCCCTTCTGACGTCACGAAGGGGAATTTCTGTATGCAAACAAGAAGCTAATGAAGAGCCTCGTTTTAAAATACACAAAAATAAAGTTGCCTTAGATTGAGTTTAAAACACTATTTTTTCACTTAAAAAAATAATTCATGCTTAGAAACATAAAAATTAATAATATTTATGTATCAATGGATAATTTTAGGCGTGAAAATAGCAGCCATTTCACAGGCACTTTAAGTATTCTTATACACAGGCACTTAGGAATGGTTATCTGTAATTTTTTTTTTATGTTTGACAGGCCAAGTACATTGCACAGTGTATAGATGAAATAAAACAGGAATTGAAACAAGATAATGTTGCAGTGAAAGCTAATGCAGTTGCCAAGCTGACCTATGTAAGTAAATCAATTGTTAGAATCCCGCAAATGAAGACATGTTATTGATTTTTATCCATTTCTTAACACTAATGTGATGCCATGTGATTGGATGAAGGGGGCTACTGTGGGGAACTTTTAACTGATTATGTCTTTCCAAGTAATCAATGAATCAAGTAATGTTTTTTGAATGGATTGTTGTCACCATGAGTGTACATGTACATAGAACAACTTCCTGTACCGTTCATTTATCTAGCAATCATTGATTTGTGGGAAAATATACAATAAATCATGCATATGCTAACATGCATATGCTAACAAAGAAGGCTTCCTACGGATATCTCAATTATCAAATTTCAATATAACTTAGCAATCTGTGCATATTAATGACCTAATTAGCCAATATTAACTCTTTTCCATTTTTTTCTCCCCAAGAACTACTTTACATATCTCATTGAAATTTGATACATAGATGGTCTGAGATAATGCGCAGACCTGATTAGCTTCTTATTGCAATCTGTGCATATTATTTACCTATATGCATAATAGTTAGTCAGTTTTTGGCTTTCTACTTGTACATATATCTTGAGTACTAATCATCACATTTCAATGCAAAATGGTACATGGATGCTCCTTGAATTTATGTTAAAATATGTGCATATTAAATACCTAATTTGCATAGTTTAACATGATTAGTTTAATGTAGAAAAAAACATGCATATTGATGATATAATTTTTATTATCTCAAAATAATTTGATCTAAATTGAGTTTGTGGTAGAGGTGTTGTGGAACTGCAGACGGAGTATCATGAACCTGAATACTGTGATCACATTGTTTTCATGTTCTGCATCTCAAATAGCAAGCAGACCAATGTTAGTTGCCAAGATGCTTGAAATGCTAATCTCAAATTTTGAATTAAATTTAAATATGCCTTCAATGAATCAAGTAATTTATGTTTGAGAGTATTCAGCACACAAGAGTTTTTTCTAAACTTTCTTTGATTTTGTTTGAAATGAATTAACATCTTGAGTCAAATTACCATTGACTAATCTCCACTCAAATTATTCATCACTCAAAAAAAAAAATGTTTTTCTTTTTTTTTTCTAATATTTCAACCACTGCTACAAAAATAATATATACTAAGTAATATAAAATAATATTTTTTCATTGTACAATTATTGGAATGAGAGTGGTAAGTATAAGTGTAAGAGATCACACACAGTGTTAATGTTTTTACAGTCTATTAATCTTAGCATGTAAAAATCTGTTCAAACCATGGCTGGCCACTCTAACACTGTAACGATTGTATGTTGTCTTACAGCTTGAAATGCTAAGCTACGACATCAGCTGGGCTGCATTCAATATCATCGAAGTGATGAGTTCACCAAAATTTACCTTTAAAAGAATAGGCTATCTAGCTGCAGCTCAGAGCTTCCACGAGGACACCGATGTCTTGATGTTAACCACAAATATGATACGGAAGGTAAGATTGTCTCTTTCACGATAGTGACCAAGTCTGTTTGTGATAAGAATAGTGATAGTCTTTTCCGTAGCATTGAGGGCCAGGAGCTGTGTGTTTATTTGTATCATACTAAATCAAAATGACCTTTGTTGGACAGATAGATGCAAAATTTGTCCAGAGCAAATTTAAAGTTTTTTGGCCCTGAAATAGTGACTCATTGTCTTGTATCATCACTTCCACTGTTCCAAATACTAGAATTACATTAATCAGGGAAACGCTGAACACAATGACAAGAGAGAGGATAATAACATGTCTTATGGTTCTCTCACGATCTCAACGTTCATTTGCATCTTATTATGCTAATAGTATGCATATAGCTAGGAATTATTTTTGTTTGTTTGATCACAATATTTTCTAGCTGTGTCATTTGCCCATAATTTTAACATGACACATTGCCGGCTGCAAGCCTTCACTAACTGACAAAATAAATGACAAAAAAAAGGTGACAACGAGTGATGTGTTAAAGGGGAACTAAATAGAGCCTATTTTGGTGTTTGTATTTATCAAGTTATGTATATTGATTATAAATTTGAAAAAAAAAATTAAAAAAATGATTACCGTATTTGTCTTCAGTTAAGCGCCACCTTCAATTAGGCGCCAGTGCCACAAAAACTTTGTATTTTACACCTCAATTAAGCGCCAGACAAAGTTGAAATTTTGGCACGTAATGATCGTGAATTGGGCGCCGGCGGATCGACTACAGGTTACCGGTTCGTAGCGATGGACGCGATCGCGGAAGTCCCTCGCTGTTACTGTACGAATGGCTTTTATGTAAAAAAAATTGGTTTTGTTTCTAACAATTTTTAAGAAATCGGTCTATAATCTCTTGAAACATGTCTTTTTAGTCTACTGTAGAAAATATCAGCGTGGTTTTAATTTCGCAGTAAGTCCATAAAAACGAAATTAAACATGCGAAATGTCTGTTTC